AGATAAGTGATTTGAAGGAGACAATCTGGTTGATTTATATTTTGATTTTCTAAAATATCTTGGCTGCCTGAATTATCTAGATCCAGCCATAAAAGTAACTACTGGAAAGTATTCGTAGACATAGGTAAGACAATCTAAGGCAAAACAGAAGACCTGAGTAGTTAGGTAGAGAAGTTGTCTGATGCAGTTCCAAGACAGGATTTACCTCCCTACTTCTTGAGAAAAAGATAGGGCAGGGGAAGCATGAAATGGAGGGGATTGGGAAAGAGTTTAGCAAATTGGCATCCCTATTGTCTTTAATGAAAATAAATATTTAAACGAAGAGGGACTTTTTCTGTATTTGTAATAAAAGAAGAAAATTGGCAGACATTATGAGTTTAAAGGCCTTGTTAGAATTGTATTTAAAAGAATGAGCTTTAAAGAGTTTATAGGGATGATTTAAAACAAATGTTTGCAGTGAAACCTCTTACAGTATATTTCCAAGACAAGTGAAGGATAAGAAAACTCTCTAGTTGTTCCTAGGCACCATGTACTGGAGGCAAGAAGCTGGTCTGCTGACAGAGAAGTCACCTATGCATTCTTGAGATCCCACATTTCATACTTATCTCCTTTTGTAGAGAAAAATTTACTTCATAATTGAAAACCAATATGAATAATTTTAAAAATGTGTAACAAGGCAATTTATAGATTTCAGCAGCAGCTTATAATACAACAAACTGCAGGGATATTTATTGATTTAGGAAACAGCTTATAATAGAAGCAGGATTGGTCCTAGTCAGGAAACTCAACATTCCATTAATTCCAGGCTGAGCCGTGAAGTTTAGTTTGAAAAGTTCTTTTTAGTTTTGAGGTTTTCTTCATGAACCAGGGATACCAATGCATGGTGTTAAAGAAAATTATAGGAACCATTTGTTTGGGGCTGACCTCTTGCCCTTAGCCCCCCCCAAAAGTTAATCAACATAGAATCACTCATGCTACATGCCATATAATCAAGCTAAAGCTTTAAGGAAGGAATTAAATCCTTAGATGGAAAAGTTTTTCCTAAAAATAGGGGACTGACCACAAAGGGCCAGTCAAGTAGACCCTGCACAAGAGTATTTCTTCCACTAAAATCTTTACAGGGAAGGTAGGCTGATGTCCACTGATCTGCTTTGCTTTTTTTAAAAAAAAAATATTATTCTATTTTATTTTTCCTGCTCAAGCTATTTTATGAAAGCAAACTGTTCTTCCATACCTATGGTATTTCTCTATTCAAATGTGATACGTCCTAATTCACAAATCATTAACAAAAGCTCATAGAACTTTAAACTAAATTTGTAGAAATTGTGTGTGTTTGTGTATATGCGGGTGCATGCTTTAGTAGTATAGTTAAGATTAACATAATTTGGGGTTTATTTTGACACAATTATACAAGCTTGCAATATAATTTCCTCCAATCTTCACTCCAAATGTAGTTGTAAGAATTGATATAAAAGTGTTAGGCACAATTAGTTGGTATATTTAATGACTGTCTAACATTTAATGACTGTCTAAGAAAGAAATTAGAACAAGTCCTGAAAAAACAAAGACCAATTAAAAATAGGACTTTTCTGCAAAAGAGCTTATAGAAAAGGAGAGTCATGTGGGAAAAAGAGCTTACTGAATGTTCACAGAGATTGTGAGAGTACAAGGCATCCCCAAGGAGGAATGAATTTTTTCCAGGTAGGAATGAGGTCAAGAGTCATTGCATAGAAGAGTCGCATATGCTTGGTGAAGTAACACATGGAACATGTGTTGCTTGGTCAAATGCAGGTTGGCTTAGAATGCATTCTGGGGGAGTGAGACACACTAGCAAAGTACAAAAATTTAACAATACAATTATCTTAGAAAATTAAAAGCTGAGTAAGAAATATATATTGAGAAGTGAGATGTTAAAGTTATTGTTACCCTAGAGATTAAGAGGAAGCAAAAAAAGAAAAAAGGAAAAAGAAAAGAAAAAGAAAAGGCTACTGGCTACTATGTAGGTAGTTGTGCAAAAATAGGTTTTAATTTCTATGAGATAAATGTTCACAGATTTAATTACTATTTCAGATAGAAAATGCATTTTTCATATTTTAGGGAATGGGGAAACTGCTATCAGAGTGGCTGTTCCACTTTACATTCCAATCAGCAATACATGAGGTCTCTAGTTTCTTTGAAATACAACATCCTGGAAATTACAGAAATGTCCCTCCATTACTGAATGATTCAGCAAACTATATACATCCATGGAATAGGAGTCATCAATCAAAATACTTGCAATAATTTGGATGGATCACAAGTATATTATGCCAAATGAAAAAAAAAAGCCAACCTTAGAAAGTTAAAAACTGTATAATTCTGCTTATATATAATTCTAAGAATAATCACATTATAATGATAGGACATAGATTAATAATTGTCAAGGGTTAGAGTTAGTGGTGAGGGAGAAGGATTTGAGTGCAAGTGTCAGGAGTGGAATAAGAGAGATCTGGATGGTAATGGAGTAGTTCTCTGTCTGAAATCTAGTGTAGGTCACACAAGTCAACACATGTAGTAAAGGACAGAATTATACAAACTAACTGTAATGTCAAAAGTCTAGTTTCAATATAGTACCAAAAGTACACAAAATTTAGTTAAAGGAAAAAGTTAGGGGAAACCTGGTGAAGTGCATATAAACCTCTTTGCATTATATTTGGAATTCTAGTGCATCTATAATTATAAACAATTGTGATCTTTTATTATATCTATTGATATGAAATGTTGTATAAATGGATTTCACAATATTGAACCAAATTTATCTCTCAAGTGGTTTCAGATTATTTATTTTAATGTATTATTAACTTATGTTTATTAATATTTAAATTATTTTAATTTAAAAATAATATTGTTTCCTAGAAATAATAAGTAAAAAATTTACTGCAGATAAAAGAAAGTATGCCTTTCTACATGGCGGAGAAGAGGAAAAAATTTTAAAATAGCCGAGATACAATTGGTAAAGAAAATAAGAAAACAATTAGTTGGAATATTTCAAGTGAAACATAAAAAACTAATAACCCAAATAATAAATGGGAAATGAACTCTACAGAAATTTCTCAAAAGGAGAAATGCAAATGGCCAACAAGGATATGAATATATGTTCACAACTTGGCAATCTTGGAAATAAAATTCATAACTACTCTGAGTTTTCATTTTACTCCAGTAAGAAGGTTAGTCATCAATAATACAATTAACATTAAATTCTGATGAAGATCTGGGGGAAAAAGGTACAGTCGGGTGTTTTGGTTGTAGCCACAATCAGTATAAGCACTTTGAAAAGCAGCATAAATATTCCTTAAGAGAATAATAATGGGCACATCACATGAACCAGCTATCCCTGTTCTTGGTAGTCATCAGAAAAATTATAATCAGAAAACTATTTATTAAACATACATTCCAATGTTTATAGCAGTGCAATTGAAAATGACCAAGTTATGGATCCCAGGTCCTCATCAACAGATAAATGGATGAAGAAAATATAATATATATATATATATATATATATATGTACACACACACACATAGTGGAGTTTTACTCAGCCATAAAGAAGAATGAAATATGGATTTTCTGGTAAAGGGATAGAGCTACGGAACATTATGCTAAGTGAAATAATCCAAACGCAGGAAGTCGAGTGTTGAATGTTTTCTCTCATATGTAAAAGCTAGAGAGAAATGAGAAATTTGAAAAAGGGGGAGGTGTCTCATGAAAATAGATGAAAGGATAGTGGAATAAAGGAAGGGGCTTGAGACCAAAAAAGGAGGAGTGTGAAGGGAGGGATTGCAGAATGAAATTGACTAAATTATGCTGAGTGCATGTCTGAATGTATCACAATGAATTCTATTCTATGTGTCATTATAATATACAAATTAAAAACAATAACTAGATAGAAGAAAGACCAATAGAGTAGTGGAGTCGCATCAAGGGGCTGGGAAGAAGAGGAGAGAAAGGGGATAATACTGGGGATTGAAATAGAGCAAGTTATATTATGTGCACTTATAAATAAGTCAAACCCCCAAATTATGTGAACATTGCACTAATAAAAATATAAATAAAATGGTAGTATTAACAAACTACATTAGGTCTTAAAAGAGAAAATATAATATGTTCAGTAAATATTGTATAATATTTTCTCAGTACTTAAACTGTGTTTAGTTTAGGCTTTCCAGCTGTCCTCAGCAACTGAAAAAAAAGGAGTTAAATATATATGATTAATATTTTTAGATCAAACTTGTACATATTAATGCAATTAAAATTACTGTTTTGATAGTGTCTATAAATTCTATATAGAAATAGTTTCAGAAAAACTCTACAGAGTGTAGAGAGAATGCTCAGATTAATTTGCATTGATTTTGTGGTTCTATTATTCATGCATGTGTCTCTGTATATTTATATATACTCTTTCCTTTCCATTACCTGCTCTCCAGTCAGTGTTTTCTGGTACAAGAACACTTCAAGACTGTTATCTCGATTTCCTAAAGAAACCATCTTTCTCTATGTTAGAAATAAGAGTAATAACTCGCACAAAAAGCATTCTTGCTGACATTGTCATTTATACTACCAATAGAAAACACACTCTTAGATCTGAGATTTTTCCTTTTGAATGAGTTCATCAGTCATTTTACAAACTGGGCTCCTCACAGGAATTATCAAAATAGCTCCCTAAACAATACCAAAAATATGCATTTGGAACTGTAGAAAAATATTTCTAGAAATTTCAGAAGAGTATTTTTTTGTTGTTGTGGTTTTACTTTTTCCAACTACCTTAATTTCAAAAATAAAAAATTTGGAATTATGCTATTTGGGAATTCAAGGAATGCAATGAGTTTTATATAGTCATAGCTGAATCAAGAATTCAAATAATGTTATCGGGTAAGGGACTCTTCTCAGTATCTGTTGGCCCATATGCTCTTTTGGGTTAATTCTCAGAAACCCTGTTCTCATATGTTGGCAAAATAACCCCCAACTACAATGATAGTTAATATTTTCCATCAATAGCAATTCACCTAGTGAGTGTTGATACTTTGAATCTGAGTGAAAAAACAAAACAAAACAAAAAAAAACGAAGAGTTACAGGATTACAACAACTTTATAGCTAGTAATCCTGGTAAAAATAATACCTTCCTTATTCTTAATATTCCCAGAAATAACATTCATTGATTTAACATCAGTGATATATATCAATTACTGAATGCAAGAAGTAGAATACACTGTCCAAAATTAGGTCATGTGTCCATTATTTTCAGTCTACTGTGGAGGTAAATGGACTGAGTCCAACTTGAAATGAAAAGGTTGAGGCTCCAGAAAAGGTAGTAACACAGGCAGTAATACATAGAAAATAGAAAAATGAGTGAATGTTACTAAGAAAGTTAAAAAATTAGGATTTTCTGACTGAAATATCAAAAATTATATAATATGCATCATATTTTTTCTTATTCCACCAGGTGGAAAATTTAATAAATTATGCAAAACTTAGCCTCATTATCACTGATGTTTGAGTAAAACACAATATGCTATATTAAAATTTAATATTACACACTAATCATAATTCACACATTTTACTAATTTAATTCCCTACTTTGTATCAAATCCCTGTTCCAACATGGTTTATATCTTGTTCAACTTTGCATTATCAATATTTTGTGCAGATACTATTATAAATGATTTCCCTTCACTGAATCTTTTGGTCATGCAAAGAATGCTTATTGAATAATTGCTATAGTTCAAAGATAATACTTACCTAAAAATATACCAAACACAAATTCCCTGTGCTCTTAGAGAAACAGCAGAGTACTCCAAAATCATCAATAATATGTCTCAAAAAAAACCTTACAAAATAATGCTCATAGACACTTTATATAAAATAATTCAAACATGGCAACAAACCAATGGCTCATCAACAGAAGAGACAGCAGAAAATATCTCAATAAACAAAGATGTATGTACTCTAATATTGGTGAAGTTATAAGTTAAAAGGAAACTAAAACAGAATACAAAAATAGAAGGTGCTTCACTGAGAAGTTTCTATGAGAAGTGAAATTTAAGTTCACAATTGTTTGAGTTAACATCATACCATATGCAGGGAACATCCTGGACAGGACAAGATCCTGCCCAAGTAGAGGACTTCATTGTGAGTGGTATGTACCCAGAACCACAGACCAAAATGAAAGCTTCTGGCTAGAGCCAAGAGCATTAGTAGGGCATTTATAATCTTGGTAAGGAATTTGTATGAAATATTGAGACACTTCATAGTATACATGTTATATATTTTAATATTCTTCTTATTTCTTATTCAGTGAATTTTGACATATGTATACACATGGGAAAACTATATCCCAACCAACATTCCTGTATTCCCAATAGTTCCTTTTTGACTTTTCCAGGTAGTCTCTTCCCACCTACAGAAAACCACTATACAAATATCCATGACCACAAATTTGTCTTGCCTGTTTTATTTTTTGGTAGTTGTAAATGAATAGAAGGCTTTTTTGTTTATTTATTTTAATATGGTGCTGAGGATCAAACCCAGTGCCTCACACATGCTAGGCAACCACTCTCACACTGAGCTATAGCCCCAACCCCTCCTGTTCTTGAATTATCACACTATTGAAAACAGTAGGGCATACTCTGTAGTATCTGTTATCCCTGTTCTCAACATAATGGTTTTTTAGATTTGTTTATGTTATCATATGAATCAGTAGTTCATATGTATTTCTGGGTAGTATAGTTTCCTAAACTCTAAGCATAACATAAATTAAAAACACAAAATCTCTTCTGTTGATAAGCCATTGGTTTATTGCCAGGTTTGAATTATTTTATATAAAGCGTCCATGAGCATTATCTTGTAAGGGTGGTTTTTTTTTTTTTTTTTTTTGGAGACAAATGATTGATGATTTTGAAGTACTAAGAATAAAATTGCTATAACACATAGCAAGTAAATGCTTAACTCCAAAATATCTGCCAAACTGCTTTCCGAAGTCATTGTGAAATTTTACTTTCCCATATCAATGAATTTGAGTTCCGATTACATCATAATGTAGCCAAAATATAGTGGTGTAATTTTAAAAAAATAGTTTTCTACTAAACATGAGAAGATAAATAATTTTCAAAGGATCTTTACCTATGATGATGTTGAGAATCTTGTGGTGTGCATAAGGATACACATACACAATATTCTTTTGTAATGTAATTAACTATTTTAGACTGCTACTGTTCACTATTTTTTAATTGTTTAGTTGTAGAAATTTACATATTGAAGAGCAGTCTTTAAATTATAAATAGGGTATGAAACGCTTTTCTAATATACCCCCCACTTCATTTTCTTAATGATAAACTTTGGTTAATACAAGTCATTAATTTAAAAGTAACTTATCAATATTTTTACAGGTACACAACCAAAAGTCACAACAGTATTCTGTATTCTTAGAACACTTAGAATTTTAGCTTAAGTTTTCAAATCTATTATTTGTCTCAAACTCAAAGTATTTTCCCAATGTAAAGTACAAGGCCAAAATCTGCTAATACTCATTCTATGTACTTACACTGTTTACCCCACTTTTAAAAAAAAATCTTCTTTTACCATTGTGTTATCTTTGTACTTCCTTTAAAACCAATTGCCATGGATAGGTGATAATGCATATCCTGTTCCATCACTGTATCTTCACACCCACCACAATGTCTGGATAATATAGTGGTGGTGTGAGCTTCAATATCAGGTTGAGTATGTTCCCCAGTTTTCCTTGGGATTGCTTGTCTTAGAGGTCTTTTAGATTCCATGTTATTTTAGAATTGCCTTTCTGATGTCAATAAATGGTCTTGTTAGGACTTTGATTAGGTTAGTTTGTATCTACAGATTGATTTATGAAAAAGAACACTGATAAGGTTTTCATCGTATATGTCCTCTGAAAGCCCAATGCACAAGGCTTGGTCACCAGCTCTTAGTGCTATTGGGAAATAGTGGAACTTTTAAGATTTGGGACATTGTGGAAGGAAGTTGGGTTCTTGGAGATATTCCATTGAGAACAACATTGGAAACATTGCTTCTTTGCATCTCTTTGCTCCCCAGTCTCCCTGAGGTGCACAGCTTTGTTCCACCAGTTGCTCTTTACCTTGGAATTCTGCTTTGCCACAGGCCCAAAAACAACAGTGCCAAGAGACTATGAAGCACTGATCAAAAAAAAATCCCTCCATGTAAGTTGGTTATTTCAGGCATTTTGTCATAGCAATGGGAAATCAACTCATCCAGATATTTTAACATTATTAAGTCTTCCAGGCTAAAACATAACTGACCATTGAATTATTTTCTCCCAGAAATGTATAACTGGTTTTCAGTGTAGAGATCTTGAATGTGTCTAGCAAGTTAAAACTTAAATATTATGCTTGGTAATGCCACTGAGAGTGGATAAGTTTTGTAACTTGACTTTCCAATTATTTAATAATTGCATATAGAATAACTTTCATATACTTTGAGTAATTTTAGTAATTTTTATTAATATTTCTAAAGAGCTTCTATATATAATATCACACCATCTGTACAAAAAAAAGTTTATTTTTTCTTTTGGTTTCCTCATTTTTAAAGTATTTTCCTTACCCTATGTTATAAAATAAAATTTCCACAATCTTGTTGGTTAAGATTATTACTCTCTTGTTAAAAGAAAGAAAGAAAGAAAGAAATCACTTAATACTTTACCATTAAGTATACTTTTTTTCTTTATTTATAAATGTCATTTATCAAATTCAGAAAGTACTCCTTTCTTCCAAGTTTGTTAACAGGTTTCATTATGAATTGTTAATGAACTTAAATGAATTTTCTTTGACAATTAATGTGATCATATTTTTTCTTTTATTCTCTTCATGCAGTGATATATATTGATTAATTTTTGAATATTTGAACAACTTTACCTTCTTGAAATAAATAACACTTGATCATGTTGTTTTATCTTCTTTTTGAATATTGATAAATTTAATTTTCTGATATTTATAAAAAGCTTTTGCATTTGTGTTCATTTATAATATTGCTTTCCACTTTGCTTATAATGCCTGTCTGGTTTTGGATAAGAATAATGCTAGACTTATAAAATGGATTACAAATTTGTTCTATCTTCAATCTTCTGGAAGTGTGTGTATATGATTGCTATCAGCATTTCTGTTTATTTTCTTCCTAATATTGATGGAATACTCTAGAAAGACCATCTGGGCTCAAAATTCTCTGTGTGGAAAATCTTATGATTTATGAAAAATTCAAGTTATTCAATAGATACAGAGTTAAACACTCTTTTTTTTAAAAAAAAATTACTGTGTTACTCCATGTAGGCTGCATTTTGGGGGAAATTAAATAATCAAAAATAGAATTGTTGATTTGTAGAAATGAAGATCATTTCTTATACTCAGTACTTCCTATGATATGCTTGTAATTTAATTATTTATGATAATTTGTATTCTCGTGTCTCTCCTTTTGCAAATCAGTGTATCAAGTTGTGTATCTATTGTACTAATATTTTAATTGAAATAAATTTTAGCTTTGTTAACTAACACTAGTGTTCATCTATGTCATTGATATCTGTTCTTATATTTATTCTTGGTGGGTTTATTCTTCTGTGAGTTTAATTTGCTCTTTTCCCCTAAATCCTTAAAGTGAAAACTTACAGTTGATAAAAATATTTTTATTTCTAATATAAGCCTTTAAAATTATAAATTTTCCTCTAAACCCTTCTTTAGCTATAAGTTTTTCCATGTTCTGTTTCCACTACCACCTAATTTAAATGTGTTTTAGTTACAGATGCAATTTCTTTTAGATTTATAGGTTATTTAAATTTTAGCTTTTAATACATTTCAAAGGGAAATTTTATGGTATATGAATTATATATTAATAAATCCATTAAAACACATCTAATTAGTTGGAGCTTTTCTCATAATCTTATTTTATCAATTAAATTTAGTTTCACTGGGTCAAAAATCCATATTCTGTAACACTTTGCTGCTAAAAGCTTTGGCAAACCTGAGAGGACACAGCACATGTGGCAACAGGATTTCAAAAAC